CGTCTCTGTATTCTCAGTTATATCCTACATCGTCTCATTTTCCCTTGTCACCTCGAGTTTTTGGTTGTGTGGCCTTTGTCCATGTTCTTGACCCCGTCTTAGATAAGTTATCTCCTCGTGCTCACAAATGTGTGTTCTTAGGCTACTCTCATACTCAAAAAAGGTATCGATGTTATCATCTCGAGTCACGTCGATACTTTGTCAGTTCTGATGTTACCTTTTTTGAGTCCACTCATTTTTTCTCCTTCTCTGGGCCATAGTTATCCGTTGATCTTCTCTCTTGTCGTGAGGGGGAGCCAGCTTCTTTCACCCCTATTCTTCCGTCTTGTGTTCCTTCCTTCTCCACTTCTATATCCTCTTCCTCCAATCTTCCCGTTACCCCTGCAATGCAGTCTCAAGCTCGTTGCATTATATCTTATGGCCCGACTAGTTCATCTCCTTTGTCTGAGGTTCTTGACTCTTGTTCCATCTGTTGATAAGCCCTCTGATGACCTTCCTATTGTCCTCCGCAAAGGTAAATGTACTTACACTCAACATCCTATTGCTAATTTTGTTTCTTATGATCGCCTCTCTCTTGGTCTTCACTCTTTTGCTTGTAGCTTGTCTAGTGTTCCCATTCCTCGCTCCTATTGGCAAGCTATGTCCATCTCCGGTTGGAAGCATGCAATGGACAAGGAAATGCATGCCCTTCATTAGAATTGAACATGGGAACTTACCCCTCTACCTTCTATCAAGTTTAGTGTGGGTTGTCGGTGGATTTATACTGTTAAGTATCTTCTTGATGGGACTGTTGAGCAACTTAAGGCTCGCCTGGTAGCCAAAGGCTACACACAAACCTATGGTGTTGATTACTTGGAGACTTCCTCTCCTGTGGTACGTCTTAATTCTGTTCGGATCCTTCTCTCTGTTGCAGTTAGTCAATCTTGGCCTTTGTATCAACTTGATAGCAATAATGCCTTTCTTCATGGCGACTTTCAATAGGAGGTCTATATGGATCAGCCCCTCGACTATGTTGTTCCCAGTTATAAGCATCTTGTTTGTTGATTGCGGAAGGCCTTGTATGGTCTCAAGCAGTCCCCTCGTGCCTGGTTTGATTGTTTCAATACTTTTGTGCTTGCCTATGGTTTTCGCTGTTCCACCTTTGATCACTTTGTCTTTGTTCGACACTTGTCTATTAGGAGTATTGTTTTTATTGTCTATGTTGATGACATAATCATTTCTGGGAGTGACTCCACTGGTATTGCTAATTTGAAGAGGTATTTGGGCCAACAATTTCACACCAACGAGTTGGGTCATCTTCGCTATTTTCTTGGGATTGAAGTTGCTTGCTCTTCTCAAGGATTGTTTCTCTCCCTACGGAAGTATGTTCTTGATCTCCTCACTGAGACTGGCCTCTTAGGTGCTCGCCCTAGTGATATTCCCATGGATTCTAGTGTCAAGCTTGATGGTGAAATCGAGGACCTGTTTTCTAATATTAGTCGTTATCGTCGGTTGGTTAGTAAGTTAATCTATCTCATTGTTAGTCGTCCCAATATTACGTATGCTGTGGGTGTGGTTAGTCAGTTTATGCGTGCTACTCGCCAACCCCATTTTGCTGCTGTGTGTCGCATTTTATAGTACTTAAAGAGTGCCTCCCGTCAGTGTTTGCTATATCGCCCATCTTCCTCGTTATCTATCACTAGCTTCGGTGATGCTAGTTGGGCTGGTAATAGAACTGATAGCCGTTCCACCTCGGGTTATTGTACCTTTGTTGGTGGTAATCTTGTTAATTGACGTAGCAAGAAACAGTATGTTGTTGCTTGTTCTAGTGCCGAGGCTGAGTACTGTGCCATGACTTATACTGTTTCTGAGCTGCTCTGAGTTCAGTCTCTTCTTTAGGATTTTGGTTTTTCTGTTCCCACTCGTATGAGTATGTCTTGTGATAATCAGACTGTTATCTTCATTGCTAATAATCTCGTGTTCCATGGACGAACCAAACATATTGAAATTGATCGCCATTTTACATGTGATCTCTTACTATGCAAACAACTTGTGACTCCTTATGTTCGTTCTGAAGATCAATTGGGTGATATTCTCACTAAACCCTTGGCTTGGTCTTCGTTTCATCATTTATCCTTCAAGCCGTGCATGTTTGACCTCTATGCTCCAGCTTGAGGGGGAGTATTAGAATAGTTGTTTTATTTCTTTATTGTCCTTATGTTAATATTTACTTAAGTTGAGGGTATGATGGTCATTTCACTATGTTAGGATTTGTATATATATTTTGCTGATGTAAAGTTAATATTTTATTCCAGATATATGAAATTATTCTTTTCTTCTTCTTCCTCTACCTCTTCCTCTTCCTCTTCCTCTTTCTCTTAAACCCTATAAATCCTAAGCCCAAATTTCTTCATTATTCATTCTAACTTCTATTTTCCAAACCTGGATCTAAGTGCCCAGTTTCTAAACTTTATGTTAGGTGATAGAAACTTCTCTATTTATCATTCAATTTTGGTCACTAAAACATATATATATATATATTCAACAATCCCATAGAAAAGATTACACAATGCTTGCACAAGTTGGCAACAGCCATGGTAGAGTGGCTGCTAAAAATTCATGAAATTTTCCATCTTCTGTAAAGCTATTGATAAAGGTGCAAAAGAGATGCGTCCAAGGCCCAAGATTGGTTTGTCATATCTTGGATGATGCGGAGCTCACTTGGATGCTCACATAATTATGTTTGGAGTCAATATTCCAATATTGTTTAAAAGTTTCTTTAAATTAGATTATTGCTTATTTGATTTTTATTATTTTTCTTCTCTTTACGGTGAAGGGCATCTTGCTTTTTTCAAATTTTATAAACAAGGCTTTAATTGTTGCCTTGAGCCATTGTTTGGGTCATGTCATGTTACTAATTCTTATAGTTTTTAGTTTGTTCAAATGGGATTCAAAATTGAACTCTTTTTGTTTCTAATTCTGCAATCGAAGTCTTGGTTAGAGTAGTTATCTTGGATCTATGTAGAAATATGTAATTCTTATGTTTAAATGTAGAACAAAGTTCTACAAAAACTTTTGGCAATTTTTCTCTTAAAAGGATTGTGTGATACAATTTTCACCCTAGGTGTGGTGGTCATAGCTTCCAAGAATAGCCCAAACCTTGGTGTTTCCTTGTTTCTCCACTTTTGAGCAAATTACGCAGACATATAAGAGTTTGTTATATGAACAGAGTGGATGTATTTTTCATAAGTTAATATCCAATGGATTTTGTCCACTAAAGCATAAAGATGCTTATCTTCATTTATCTTATACAACAAATGAGTAATTCTAACTCACAAACCCAACAACCTTCCATCCCATTCTTCACTTTTCACCAAGTGGATAGGTAATCATGAGAATAACCACCAAGGGCATTGCCTCTTATAGTATAAAATTGTGGACTTTAACTGTCTTGTTTGACGAAGATGTGACTTTAAAAAATACACACTAAATAACCAATCATGATCAATTTTTTTCCTTCGGAAAAATTTGCTTCCGTCAATGTTATATAATTGGCACCTCCTGTCCCTTCACACCTACAACCGATGTTGGAATAGTGAACAAAGACATAAAATAAGTGTGAAGGCTGAACAAAGTTCTTGTAATTGAGGTCAACTTCTACCCTTTAGATAAATACTCTCTTCCATCCAGTTAAGTGCCTTTGGAACCTTTTCACCATTGAATCAGAAATGGACTATGCCTTGTAAGAAGACCCAAGAGGGTGACCCAATTCAGAAGGTTGCAACTGATCAACTTTGCAGCCTATAATATCTGCCAATGCCACCACATGAGGTACACTTCCAACCGGAATAAGTCTAGACTTCCCCATTTCACTTTCATGCCTAACACTACCTCAAAACACAAGAGAACACATATGAGATAGCCCAACCGCTGGGCCTCGGTCCCACAAAAAATTATGGAATTGTATGCATATAACAAGTGATACCTCTAATGGGAAACCATCATCCTGCTAAAGACCTCCATAACCACAATAAACAGCAAGGGAGACTAATCTAATCCCTTGAAGTCAGGAAGACTCCAGTTGAGGAACCAGTAACCAACACTGACAGCCTGACAGTAAATATGCATAATCTAATCCAATCTCTTCATTTTACCAAGCTCCTTCTGGTCTAAGCAGTAAAGCAAGAAATTCCAATTCATGTGAAAGGTTGGGAAGCATCATAGATTTCAATAAATGGATAATTTGCTAAAGTTAATTATAGTCCCTTTCTATGGGGTTTACATTCTTTTTATTTTTGGTATGGAAATCCTTAAAAGGAAAGATTTTCAGGAGAATCCAGAGTTGGGCTTGGAGTTTTCCAAAGCCACCCCACAAATTGGCAGATTTACACTCTTGCAAGCAGAAAATATTTGCTGGTTGACATATATTGAGATTTTTCTTTCAAAGGCAATTTTGATAAGTCCACTGACTGTTCATCTCTTCTTTGCTACTGAAGCTATAGACGGCAAGCACCTTCCTTAACTAGTTGATTCCTCAACTATAAAAGCTGCATGAATTAAAACAATCAACACAATCAAACAAAGACACATGATGTACGTGGTTTTGCTATGAAGCCTACATCCATGGGCAAAGACAATAAGAAGGATCCACTAATTGGAGAAGAACAAAGAGATGATGCTGCAAAAGCCACCAAACTCAAAAACTAGCCTCCTACCCAACAAGAAAGAGCACGCTTTCTCTCTAAATAACCACACCTTTACTCTAACGCAAATGACCCACAACACTACTGGAGTAGCCTCCAAGCAAATAGAATAGGGCCAAACAGAAACTATAAGCTACCAACATAATGGGCTTTAGTTCACGACATCACCCAGCAGTATATATTTTTTTGTGCCTAAAGTTTAATTTGTTGTAGTATGAACTCTTGCCAATAAAGATTATAACTAGTATTTTATGTTTTCACTTCACACCCCAATGCTATGGCATACCAATTACGTAACTCTCTCTCTCTCTCTCTCAGGAACTATCTTCAACGAAATCTAGCTTCCAGCAGGAAATTGAATCCTTGAACCAGAGGCTAGTCTTCATAGACAAAAGAGTCCCAGAGCTGGAAGCAGAAAAGAAAGTTGCTGCTACTGCAAGAAATTTCAAGGAAGCAGCACGGATAGCTACTGAATCCAAGGCACTAAGTGTTGAAAAAGAAGGTTTAAAGATCAAAATGGCAGGGGTTGTCCTTGAGCTTGGGAAGCTTGAGGAAGAGATTTGCGACACTGTTAACAGACTGCAAGAAACTGAAGGGCAGATTTCAACCAAGGAAAAAGAGGTAGCAATGGCTAGATTCCAGAGACTACTACTAATAGCTGGTGCTGCCAAAGCTGAAAGATCAGCTGCTCTGGAATTAGGTGATCTTGAAGAAACTGACATTCTACTTGCAGAGGCAGAAGCCGCAGAATCTGAAGCAAGAAAAATTCAGCCAGTTTACAATTTCAAGGAGGAAGAGTTTGCTAATATTCCAAAACAGTACATCTCTATGGAACTTGTGTCCAATCTTGGTGGGAAGCAGTTGGCAGAATTGGTAGCATCTGCTGCTTATATATCTCCTACATAGTAATTGCCACACTGGAATGACCAATTTTTTGAGCTTCCAAGCTAATATAATTCTTGGATTGTATTGTGCTGAATCGAATACAAGGAAATACCAAAGAGTACGAGGCTGGACTAGAATTGCATATTGCAGATCTCCGCGATGCCCTATTGTACGATTTTTCCTAGTCCAATTTTAGGAGATCATGTTTTGTGGATCAAGAGTTGAATCCAATCCTCATTCAAGCGTTGATTGAATTTTTTTTTTTTTCTGAAATTTTTTCTTATGAATAATCTTCTGCATCATCAATACATGTTCTCCTGTTATCTTAATAGTCTGGCAAAGTGATGTTCTCTGCTCAAAAAAGGTAGTTGTTCAATTGGATTATTTGTCACACAATTCCCACATTGTTTTGCATCTGATGCTTCATTGTGTCCTGTTTTATATAGAGTGCTAGAGCCAATTATTAGTCCTCTTTGGATCAGTTTTTGAGTAGTTTTTCTTTATTCATTCCATACTAAACCCTATTGCCACTGGAATTAAGATATCTCTAACAATCATTTAGTTATTCCTTGTAAATTTACTTGTGTTTCCATTGGAGTAGGCAAAATGCTTGGGTGATGTGAGATGCACAAGTGTACCAGAACTAGGATTTGTCCAATGTGTACGAAGTCAGGAACTCAAGTTGTTGACTTCTAATTAAGCAGATTTTGTGTGTGACTGAAATAATTACCGGTTCTTTTTTTGCCTTCAATGTAAGAACTTTCACAATTATTTTAAGAATAATGCTATATGTATCCATTAGTATACTGATTAGTATACCAATTGATGTTGTGATGTAATTTAAGAGGTTTTGATGATCTGAACCGTCTATCTTGTTTTTATAATAAAGATCATTCATACAAAAAATGAGTTTCATCGGGCATTTATAAACATAATAAAAAATAAAATGAATGACAAATGTGATTATAAACTTAAACAATTCATTTTTAAAATAAAATATTATTTATTAGTATGTTTAAAGTTGTCCGATGAAGTTAATTTTTTGATGAATAACCTTTACTGCAATGCCTACAAAGTAAACGATTTGGATCATCGGTGCGAATTTAGAATTGAGGCCTATAAGATGAAGCATGGAGAGATGATATATAGAGGGAACCTATCCCCTTTCTTTTTATAAATTTTCCCTATATTTCATGTCTTTTTCCACTTTGGTTTAATTTTCCAAAAATGATCTAAATGTCACGCGGCATAGAAAAATCCTAAATCTATCCAAATTTGACCCAATCCGAGGGTAATCCATTTGAAAAATATGAAAGAAAATCGTTTTAAACCAACACACATGCCCAAAGACACTGTAATGCTTACTACATTGAACAGAAGATGAGAAAGAACACCCCCACAACCACCACAGTTTTCACACACGAAATAAAAAATAAAAAGAACACTTTTGAGATTAAATATTATCAACTGTCATGTCCTGGTCCTGGTGAAGAGAATGAGAATCCTCCAAACCAAACAAAAATTGAAATGCCATAACCAGGATTGGGAGGGGAATTTTCAGCTACATTGCTGTCCCTTCCCTTACCCTCCCACTCCCACTTCCCATATACCTTTCCTCCCCTTCCACAACCCTCTCCAACATATTCTCTACCACCACCTCTGACTACGTCCAAATCCCTCACCCTTACAACTCCCATCGCCTCTAAAGGACTTTTAACTTTTCCATCTCTCTCTTACTTGTCACCACCCTTGCAACTCCCACCACCTCCAAACCCCTACAACTTCCACCAAAACCACCACTACCCTCTGCCAAATTTTAGCAACAACATCCCTCTTTTCCTCAAGATCCGTTCATAAACATGTCATGAACAATTGTGAATGCCACTATGATCTCTTTTTGTCGATCACCACCACCAACACCACCACAATCTCCAACTCATGAAGAGACAAGGAAAAAGGTGGGGAAAAAAAAAGAGCTATTGTTCAGGGGTAGGGGATGTAGGGAAGAGGTTGTCTTTAGAGTAGGTTTGGATGGGTATGGGGGTGGGTTTAAGGGTCAAAGTGAAAATTTTATTTTATTAAAAATACCAAAATTACTCCTTAACTGTCATGTCCAATAGTGATTGGACCAAAATGGGAAAAAATAGATTAGTTCAGGGAATAGTGGGAGAATTTTTTCATTAGGGACTAAAGTGAAAAAAGAGTCATACTTAAGAGGTGGAAGTATAATTTACCCAATTTAATTTCCATCTGAATTTGGTTCCAAAGACACTGTAATGCTTACTACATTGAACAGAAGATGAGAAAGAACACCCCCACAACCACCACAGTTTTCACACACCAAATAAAAAATAAAAAGAACACTTTTGAGATTAAATATTATCAACTGTCATGTCCTGGTCCTGGTGAAGAGAATGAGAATCCTCCAAACCAAACAAAAATTGAAATGCCATAACCAGGATTGGGAGGGGAATTTAGCAGCAACAGCGCGCACACAAAAGAAGAAAAAGAAAAAAAGAAAAGCTGCCAACCATATAGCTACCACTAGAAGTCTTGTCGTTATGGTTACACAGAGCAGGACACACCCATTTTTATTGCCAAGTGAAAGAGAGCAGCAAAAATAGTAACAATACACGTCGTGATAATGCGGTTCACCCACCCTACCTCTTCAAGATATGTAGTGTGTATATATATGTATCAAACCAAACCAAATCAAATCAAATCAAACTTATAAAGAATCAGTGTCATTTGTAGACCTGCTGAATAGTTCCCCCTTAAAACACTAAAAAAACACATACAGCAATGGCAACATTTTGAGCAATTTGTAGTTCTTCCAACCAATTACCCAAGGAGCAATGAGATTTTTCAGCTAAAACATCCCACTGATAGAGAGGTTGTCTAATCTGTTGATCGCTCTCCCAGGTTTTACCAAACATTCCTTGTTGCAAATTTTATCATGCAATGCCCCCAATTGTGCCAAAGAAGCAAATTTTCACTTTACTAGTTACAGTCCAATCCACATTCCTGTAAAACTGGGCCACCTGTTTTGGCCAAAAATGGATCAACCCGAACCCACAAGAGGGAAAATATGGAAGCAAGCAGGATTGACCAGACAATAATGATGGTGGGAGTCCTATTCTGCCGACCCAGCAGACCTTTCAAGAAAGGATACAGGTGGACTATCACCCAAAAGGCAAAGAAGAGCTTTCCAAACAGAGGACCCCATGACTCATACCCATTATTTATTGCATTGGATATCCCAGCAACCACTCCTATCATGTTTATTATCAACAATGTCGTCGGTGGGATGAGCAATGTTGTCCACTTGAATGCATACAGTTCTGAGAACTCCTCATCGTCCCCTCCCTTGGATGTCACTGTAAAGTTTGTATCAACTCCGGCTAATACTTTCAGAAGTCCCTGGAACACAGCAAATAGATGCGCCGACACACCACCAATCACCCAAAACTGCTCATTTCTCCACCATTCATCAATACCAACCCCACTCCATCTCATTTCCAGGATACTTGTCGCAAAAATACAAATAAAAAGCGACAAAAACCACAAGCTCGCCACATTACTAAGCTGCATTGAAAATATACATTTTTTTTAATAATAAATCAATTTAGTTAATTATAGTCTTGAGGAAAGTTTAGCAGTAAAATAAATCTCTTTCTCTTACCTCTGGAGTGATAAATTTCCCTGTGAGCAAGCAGACAGCAGGTAAAGTACAATATGCGAGAAGAGGAATAGACGTCCATGGATACACAGTAGCATTTATGTACGACAGACGCTCTAACCATTTCAGACCACCTCCATAGCCATACCAGAGAGGACAGTGTCTGCTCAGAAAGATTTCAATGGAACCAAGCGCCCACCGAAGGACCTGGTGAAGCCGATCAGAAAGATTGATAGGTGCAGATCCCTTAAATGCAGGTCTTGCAGGGATGCAATATATAGATCGCCATCCATGGCAATGCATTTTAAAACCTGTCAAAATGTCCTCTGTAACTGAACCATAAATCCAGCCAACCTGTAACAAGGAAGAATGGTTTATTTAGACAAAGCCTAATTTGAAAAAAGAAATTGCTATGTTGAGAGAGAGCGATTTATATATACATATATATATATACTATTCTAGTCCTACCTCTTTTCCCCATTCTGTTTTATCTTCATAGCTGCAGCTAATTACATGGATGGCTTCCTTAAGCAGAGTCGCGGGGCTAGCAACTTTCAGTTTCCCACTATTCTCTGGCAATATAGATGCAACAAACACTGGAGATTGCCCAAATTTCTTTTCCAACTTATTCTCAGACGTCAGAGCTAAATTTTCACCTTCGGTCCCTGCATCAAATATCTTCCAAGTCAAATGCCAAAATTGACAAGCCTCATGGATGATGTTAATGTTAGCTTCAGATACATTGAGCCCATTTCCTAATAGATTAAATTTTGGGATAATTGGTGATCTAACATAATAATAAAGTTCTAGTTGCAGGAGGTCCTGAGTTCAAATCTTGTCACCCTCATTTTCTCTGTCATTGTGCATATGAGAGAGAGTGTTAGCTTGGTATATATTGTTGGGCCCATTTCCTAATTGCTTGACATTTGGATAATTGGTGATCTAGCATTAGATGCCATATTTTTTGCAGACTAGCAGTTAAAAGAAGTAAAAATGAACCCACAAATATATTTCCTTCACGGCTGGCCAGATTGGATTTTTATGACATTTACTGTGGAAAAACCTTCACCAGTTGACAAAGTCTCTGTTCCTTACAAAATAAGATGTTTTCCAATATAACCATTTCAAACCTAAATGTCAAACTTGTGACTGTCTTCGAACAAATTACAATATCTAGCTATGATGTACAACCCTACAATCTGCTAATTAGATGCAGCCTACCAATGAATAAAAGAGCAATCCAAGGGTATTATTACTAGTTCAGATGAAAATAGTGACGTCATTTGGGATGCACATGTAAAAAAGCTTTTATGCCCAAGTTGAACCTAGAAATGAAGAAAATATTGCATAAAAAGGCGTAAATCAATGCTAGGCACTCAAGGACTGAATTACTTAACAACTCACAAGTACAACCTTTATCAGCAGTTCTTTCTTCAATACACTCCGAGGCTCATACCGGTAATCCTGCATAAGCCTCACTTGAATTCTTCTGCTTCATCTCAGACTTGGGCTTGTTAGCCTTCATCTTCTTCTTCTTCCTTCCAGAACAACAGCACCCACAGCAGCACCACTTTGGCAAGCAGTTGCACGTCCTTGTGGGTGACTTCTTCGTCTTTGGAGCATCATAACCATAAAGCGCATGCCGCCTAAAAACACATCCTGTCCCAACATAAATCGGTCCTTGAATGCCATCCAAACCTTTCATGTTAATCTGGAGAAAAAATAATCATAATAATCATAATCAATTTTACTAGAAACAGAAAAAGAAACAGCAAGCAACAATAGTCACTTGAAAGTCTATATTGGAGCATACTTACATCAAAGAATACAGTGTTCCGGTTGGCATATCGATCACTCCTGTCAATACCATCAAACCTTTGTGGAAACTGGACATAGCACACTCTTTTTCCCAACAGGGGATCCATCATGAAGCACATTGCCTCCCTAAGAGCCTTGCTGTTATTGATGTAGTGATCACAATCCAAGTTCAATAGATAAGGCGCATTAGTCAGCACAGCAGAGACCCTGACCTGACAAACAAATGAGCCAACAGTAAAGTAAAATACAAGGAATTTAGTAGCACTTTGATTTGTTACTTACCAAAGCATTCATCGCACCAGCCTTCTTGTGGTGATTGAATCCAGGTCTCTTTTCTCTGGAAACATATACCAAGCGCGGTAGTTCATTTCCATCAGTGTCATATCCCCCACTTTGACCAAGAAAAACCTATACAAGATCACAAGAACACTAAGTAGGGCTAGAATTGATCAGGATATGGACCGATATTGAATCTCAAATGAGTGGATAGATAGTTTTCAGGATGATGTCCTGTATTACCTAAGGCATGCTCCTTGTATTTTGTACAGATTTTCCAATCTTTTGTTAATAAATATAATCTTACTTTTTGGAGAAGAGAGAGAGAGAGTACCTGAATCATGCCAGGATGATCTCGGACATTATTCCCAGGCCATGGAGTCCCATCCTGCATTGTCCACCCTTCCTCGGGGACTTTTTGTGCCTTTGAAACCAAAGCATTTATCCGAACTTTGAACTCCTCATATTCTCGCTGCAACCCCAATAAGAGACAGTCAACAGTACCCAATGAAGAATTTCAAAGACAGCATTGCTAGGGACACAAACTAAACTACACATTAAACTATTTCCCATTCACATGAGGAATGGGACCAGGTCATCACATAGTGTGCGTCTCACTCTCATGTGGAGAGTAGTTTAGTGTGTAGTTTAAAAGGTGTCAATATATTTACTCTTTCAAAGAAATGAAAAATAACTCAAAAAGGTTAGTGACCCCTTTACCTTCATTGCTCGTCGCTCCTTCACAAATGAAGTCAATACCTTATCTTTCAAATAATCCATCTTCTGGGCAAAATACCACTCAGGTGCTCGTGGCTCAATGTTAAATTTCTTACAGAATGGCACCCACTTCCTAGCGAATTCTGATGTTTCTGACAATGCCTCAAAAGTCAGCATAGCAGCACCGTCATCAGAAACATAACACGAGACCTTGTCAATAGGGTAATCCACAGCAAGAATGGATAGAACAGTGTTTGCAGTGACCAAAGGGGGTTCTTTTAACGGATCAACTGTACTCACAAATATATCAATTGGAGATAGTTGAGAGGGTTGGCCTTCTTTGTCATACCTAACAAACAAACAGCCAAATTGTTTAATGACTCTAGTAAATTGGTCCAATAACTGAAATAATAAGCCGTAGCTTGCACACATGATTTTCGGTAATAACTAACCTCAATGACAACCTGTCAAGATAAGTTTCCCTATCTATGGGAAGCCACTTTGGGAATTGATCTAAAATCCATGAAAGAGCAAACCAAATCTCACAGATCACTGATACAAGCCACAATGCATAAGCATCCTTCACAGGATGCATGACTCGATAGTGGAAGAAAAACCCAAGAACAACAAGCCGGATTATGATAATCATTCGGTAAGGGCTAATTTGGCTTGATGGAATAGGTAACTTTCTGGACAATGGTTGCCTTGCCTCATCCATCCTGGGTCAATGAATGCTGAGATGTTATTACAAGATGAGCAGTTTTTAGAAGTTTCAACAATATAACAATGCAAAAACAGAATAAACATCAAAACCCATAATTATAATTTTAAGTGTTCATAAATAAAATGTATGTAATGGACTAACCACTGAGGAGTGCAAGTAGCTGTTCAATGACAAAATAATGAAAATTTGGGAATTAATAAAGACTTGAACAGTGAGGAGGACAATGGAGAGAGGGATTTCATGGAGGAGTTTCAGAGAATTAGCTTATTTGATGAGTTGTTTATTTTATTTTATTTTATTTTTACTTACAGTGGTAGATGCATCCCATCCCCATCATCGTCCCAATCGTTATTGCCATGATTTTCATGTTTCATCAGGTGTTGCTTCTCTTGTTTGTGCTTCCAACTTTCCATCCTCTCTTTCCAAGCTACGCTGCCATAGCCATAAGCAGCCAAATCCTTGGAAGGATCCATGGATCGAGATTGCACTGCAAAAATGGGCAGGGGATTATCATACAGATTTGACCTTCAACGTGGGAGGGAGGGGAGATAAAAGGAAACCATAGCGTAGCGTAGCATAGCATAGGAAAGCAAAGCAGAATTAATTAAAATTACCGGGTAGGCTAGGATCTGAGAAAGGAAGTGGATGAATCCTTCTGCTGCTGCTGCTGCTGCCACCACCAACACCCACTGTCGATGGAACCAATGCATGTTGTTCAGGAGGAATATCATCATCCACCTGCAAACACAAACGCTGCAGGTCTCAGGCTCCTGCTGTCTGAAATTTGCATACAATGATTTTTAGAATTCCACAGCAACAGCAACAGCAACAGCAACGGTAGTCGTACCATATGGCCGTTGGTAAGGAGGGGAAGTTGAGGCAAAGTATTACTATTATTAGTATTGTGAAAGACATGTGGGTGCAATTCGGATGAGTCGAAAATATGGCCATAGCTCATGTGCGAACCACCGTGACCGTGAAGTATAGCCTCTGAACGAGCAAGAGAGTGCTGCTGTGAATCCAGTAGTTTAGCACTGTCACGAACCCTCCCTTCAAAATTGAACTCGTTTTCCACATCGTCAATGTCATCTTCTTCTTCATCACCCTCCACTCTAGCACACCCTGCATCATTCATCCATCCATTGATCATCCGGGTAGAACTAACAAATTTTAACAAATATCGAATCCCCCCGGGGCAGACAGAGACAGCATATATAACAATAAAATTTAAAGAGACAGAGAGATGGCCGCCAGCCAGTTGTAAGAAATCGAAATCCCATTGCGAAAAAGTGAATTCAAAAGCGGGAGTAGTAGTTATAAATTAATGATGAATGAATGGATTGGATTGGATTGGATTACCCTTGAGACGTTTGAAGCGAGTTTTGCACTGGGGGCAGATTTGGCTTCCTTCTTGGCGCTCATACTCGTAGCAAGTCCTGCAAACAGGGAAGGCGCACTCATTGCACGCCACGAACAGCTCTCCATCCACTGTCACCCCAACATCGTCCCCGCATATTTGGCATTTTTGCCCTGTTACCTGCTTCAATGGCTTTGGCTGCCCCAACCCAACCCAAATAACCAAAAACTTGTTAATACTACTACTTCTATTATTAACTACTACTACTACTACTACTACTACTAATAATAATAATAATAATAATAATTTAAAACAACAATTAAATCACGAGGAGAAACCAAAAAAAAAAAAAACAAAAATAAAAAAGCAATAGTTGAATTGTTTGTCATAATAATTATGAAAGAAGAGAAGCATTGTTTGGTTGGGAACTTAGGAAGGTGTGTCAGAACAAGAACATACACCAGATTCTCCATCCCGACGTATGACCACCAGCTCATTTCGGTTGTGAGAACCCGCAACTAAACCTGCACTCGCTTCCATCCCTGCCCCCTGCTCTCTCTCTCTCTCTCAAAATAAATAAATAAATAAATAAATAAAATATAAAGCAGACTACTAAGTTATTCTACTACTACTCCAGATCTGACCCAAACAAAGCAATTCAGATTCCTGAATGGAGGCGCGATCCGGCTGGCAGAGTTAAGAGCTCAAAGCTGAGAGAGAAGGTTCGGGCCGCCACCACCACCGACACTGAAGCTCCTCCTCTCCTGGGGGTGGGGGGTGGGTGGACACTTCCATTCCATCATCATTACTTACTGTGAGATTGAGGCGATATAACTAAGGGAAGATTTATTTTCTTTTCTTTTCTTTTCTTTTCTTTTCTTTTTCTTCCCAAATGAAATGAGAGCACCTCTTCCTTCCTTTTCCTTTTCTTTTCCTTTTATTATTATTTGTGGCTCTCTCTCTCCCTCTCCCTCTCCCTCTCCTTCTCACTCTCACATCTGCTCTCAATCAACAATTAATTAAAAAGCCTACCCACTTCCAGTAAAAATATCAGGAAAAATCTTGCTCTACTAAATCCTTTTTACTTGTACTTATTTGTCAATAAACAGCAATTTATGCTTATTAGTAAAAGAAGAAGAATATCAACTTGTGTCAAGTGTAGGTCATTATTATTATGCTTATGCTTAACTATTTTCTTTTAGGATATCTTTCTTTCTTTGTCTCTTCCCAGACTTTCCTTTCCTTCCTTTCCTGCCACCCGTTTCTTTTCTTTCCTCTAATTTTTGTCGTATCCCTTATATATTAACATCTCCGCCGACACAGCTAATGCTGTCAACAACTTCTTGAATGTGAATATATTATGTCAAGAAAAAAATAAATAATAATAATAATATAAGCCAATAACTAAAAAGTAAAACAGAGGTTGTAGATTTATAAATAAATAAATAATTAAAAATTAAAAAAATTGCTCTGCATAATTTAAGAAAGAAAGAAGAAACCACACTATTGAAATTTTAACTGTTTTGGTTCTAAATTAGGATCTACCAGAAACTTCGTGCTTTTATATTTCAACATTCTTTGCTAGTTTTTTGTTTTTCATTTATTTTTTTTGGATATATTACATTTTATCGTTTTTATATTTAGTCACTTTCTTACTTTGACATTAACGATTTATGTTTTTTACTTTCACTCTTCATGTTTTAAGTATTTCTCAATTTACTCTTAAAAATAACTTCTGTTTAAAATTAAACAAAAAATGTCACAATAACTATGACATAACATAAAAAAATATATTATTATATTAAATTTTAAGTTTATGTTAAGTCATATATAATAAAAAAATTATATTTTGTAATTGTTAATATATCATTTTCTGTCTAATTTTTATCAAAAATTAATTTTAGAAATAAAGTGAAGAAAAAAAAAACTTGAAATATGAGAGGTGAATGTGAAAAAAAACAAACTTTAAATATCAAAAAAAAAAAAAAAAAAAAAAAAAAAAAAACATAAAAAGAGACCAAGTGTAATTTATCTTTTCTTTTTTAATAATTTGGTCTTGATGACCAAGTGTCATAATTTAAAAATGGGAGCATAAAACAAGGTAACCAAGAGTGCTCATTTCTGTTTATAAAAAATAAAAAATAAAATGCAAAAAAGAGGTGCTTATTCAACTAAACAACAATATACGAGGGACGTGGCATCCAACAAAAAAAATAAATTATGTAAAATAATATTCACATTTTAATTTTGTTACCTCATACTCTCCTGGTAAAAAAAAATGAAAAGGTTAAGCAATAAAGAATTTTTTTTAAATTAAAAAAAAAAAAGTAGTCTTACAATTTTTTTATAATTACAACATTTTTTATTCACAATAAAATAATTGAAACTAATACAGATGATATGAAAATATAAAGTTAAATAAGAAAATATAAATATATATATATATTAATGTAAAAAATACATCCATATAATTTTTTTCATCTATGTAATTAATAAATTATTGATGAGAAGATGCGTAAATTAAAATGTTAAAAAAACTCAATATAATTAAGTTAAAATTATGAGATTTATTGTATTTTGTTCGAACATAAGAGAGAGGGTAATTTATTCAAAATTAAAAGATTAAAAAAAATAAGAAACTAAAAATAAGATGTGAATCAAGGTTTTCAAACCCGGACCAGACCGGCCATTCAAACAGGGAACCGGGCCTGGTTCCGGTCTGGCCAACCCTGTAAACCCAGAGGAGGCTTAAAACCGTTCTTAAATGAGAGAACCGGATGGCCCGCCGGTTCAACCGGCAAACCCGGTGACCCGGACGGGTTAACGAGGAACCGGGCGAGTTTGTTGGCCTGAAATCTCACTTTCTCTCTGCAGAATTCTGGTGGTGAACGGAAGTTACGGAGGAAACAAATCTGGCGGTGAGGTGAGCACAAAGGCTGGGGTGGCAAGTGGTGTTCATAGATAGGGGTACTTTACCAACAATGAAGGAACAGGCAGTCCATCTCCCAGTTTTTGATCTGAGGACTGGTCTACCCTTGAGATCCACACTCCCATCTTGTGTGTAATCCTCTCTTCCATTCACAACACCTTTCTCTTCATCTATCTTTGCATAACCTTCTGTCCATTCCACAGGACCTAATTTCCCTTCCTCTACCTTCACCGTGGTAGCCAGAGAGAAAAAGTGCAGAGACAAGGACTTTTTTTTTTTTTTTTATTCAAGTCTTCTTTTTTTATTCAAGCAGAGACAAGGACTTTAGGTGCATGCATATGGTCACTTTAGCTTTTGACTTTTATAATGTTTGGCAATCAAAGGACCAGTATTTCTGTCTCGAACCTTTTCATCATCATCCAGAAATACGTACTATGTAGTAACAGTATTATACAAATATAAAAGGGTAAATTACACAACTCTTGAGATTTGAGTGATATTTTAAAATCCTATTGTAGACGTTCCCGAACGCCCCGGGAGGACGAGTCTCGTTCCGTTTGTATTGGGTTCACTACAGTTCGGACTCTCGAATTGTCATGGTTCTTAATCTGAACCAAAGAGTCCAAATCCGGCAAATCGTTTTGAGAAAAACAGATTTTTTTGAAAGAAGTGCCAAACATGGACTGCTTTGCCAGATACAGAGTCGCCACCTAAATATTTTATATGGGAGAATTTAGGAAACCCTGACTCGGTGCCGAAGGCCACATGTCCGTCATCACCGGAGTTGTCTCGGCTTGGGAGCTTGGGTACGATCGGGGAAGGTCAGCTATGAGCACCCCCTTTCGCCCGGTCCAAAGACCGGCCTCTACTAACCATGATATCCGTATTTGAAAACTTTATGTGTTCTTAAACCAATTATTAGCCTAGAATTACTATGTTATGCGCACAGCAAACAAGTATAGACCAAATCGCCTAAATTGGAACAAAACATTTCATGTTTGTTTTGAAAATAGTTTGCTACTCGCAAGTAGGCTAAAATGCAGATTTTGCCACCTCAAGTGGGTCTTTAGAAAAGATGGTTTTACCACTATCTAGTGGGCTTAAAACTCACAGTTTTAGTGCATTATTCCAAATTTAGGTAATTCAACCTCCACCCACAGGCATTCAAGCAGTTATATCACATAAGCAAGTAGCCTCATGGTAAGCATGCGGTCATGGCAACACTCACACGCATGCAAGGATGCTAAAACATAAATGCTCACCGAGTACTCAAGCCAAAACAGAAACTAGTTAGTAATCATATGCATGATCCTAGTTCATGTTAAGATGACTAATGTAACACATGCAAAATGCAACTAAGATAGGCTCGGCTAATCTACAATGACATGTGAGATACTACAACTAGCACGTATTTAACTTGAATTGAAATACAATGCAGTTAGTATGATGCGCCGAGCCGGTGCATTCAAGACAAATGTATGGATGCACGCATGCATGGCATAAGGTATGCTAATTTAAATATGCCCTAATACTAACCATCAAAAGCATGTAAGTAAAAGGGAGAAAGAAATGAGGGTTGGAAGACAAGCACACACGCACCCACACTTATTACAAATTCGCCTCGCTTGGAGGGACCAAAAGAATATACAAATTAATTATTACAGACCACTTAATTAATTAACAAATTAACTAAACTATGGAAAGCAGTAAAGGCCTCGGGAAGAGGATCCAATGCGCGCGTCGCTCGGTTTGCTAGGAAATCCAACGCCATGCACAGTTTGCCTCTGTTTTCCCTGCTCTGCTCCTCTGAAAATTGCAACAAGTCCCAGGGAGCACTCTATGGACACTGTGGAACACCACCGGCTAAGACAGAACACCACCGGCCATGTCGGATGGTCATCGACCATCTGTAAGGCCATCGGCCGACAATGGATGGCCGGTCGGCAGTATAGATGGCCGGCCGGCCAAAGCTTCCTGCAGAACCTGTTTTGACAGCAGCAGAGGGCAAAACAAGGCATGCAATGCATTTCAAGCAAATAATGTGCACCAACACCCTCCTTATCATGTTCATGACTCAAAGGGGGGCGGTACTCGATTCTCGGACCACCAATCGCGCATTTCAATGCGTGATGGCCCAAAAAAACCAAGTTGTACATTTTGATTTCAAATGGCATGCAAACCAAATAAACACATAAAGTCCTACCTCTATCATGGTGATTCAAGAGGCAAGGCATGCATGCAAAATGCTATGTAACCTAGGCATGGAAGCTAAGAATGCAACATGAACATGTGAATATGTATAGCATGCAACAATCATACAAAATGGAGCAAAGATGTGACTATATGCAAGACAAGCACGCAAAATCATGCAAAAATGGACTTAAACCAATATAGGTAGCTCTCAAGCATGCCAAAATCATCGGCCAAAATGATGCAACAAAGGCATGAAAACACACACACAAGCATGCATGCACAAAGGCCTAAACATGGAGCATAAGCCATCAACTCTCCAAAGCATGAAAGGTATGGAAAATGCAAGTATGCAAGCATGAAACATGGACTGAAATATGGTCTCCAATGATGCCAAATCATGAGAACAAGCCAAATAAAGCATGCTAGTGACCCACACACCCAAGGCTAACAAGCTAGAATGCAAAGAGGCTATACAAAGCATGGCAAGCATGACCAAAACGATACCAAACAGAACTTAAACATGTTAAAACATGACTAAAAACTTCACAAAGCTAAGCCAAAACATGCAAGCATGGTGGTCTAAATGCTAGGCACATGTTAAGGCAATTCATGGCATTACAAGACAAGTATGCAAGGCAAGCATGGTGTGTCTAAACCAAGTAAAAATGCTATATCATGGCAAAATAAGCACAAATAACACTTAAGACATGGCAACATGAACTTAAAAATGGTGCTCACACATGGGCTAAAATGGCACTTTTGAAGACAACAAAGAGAGGGATGTCCCTCTCCTTCTT